GCAGCGCCTCCTTCTTCTTTCAGTCGTATGGGTATTTTGACCATACTTCACCACGCCGGTCAGTGCGGATTGCTGAAGGGTGATGGGTGGTCAAGGCCGGTTAAGATATCGTTATCAGTAGCCAGGAATCAATTCTCAGGTAGCCCGCCAGGTCTGCGTCTAAATTAACCGGGCGGTGATGGATATTCACGTAACCTGCAGTGTGGAGACAGCGAGGGTTGGTGGATCACACAGAGATGGGTTCTGAAACTTGATTCACGTGGTTGTCGATGAGGAGCCGTACCGCGGCTCGCCAGGAAGAAGGCGGTGAAGCACAATGTGGACTCCACCTGTTCCATCTGCACGGGGGATGCAGTGTTGCCCCCTCACACGCCTGGGTTTCCCCCATGTGCTCCGGTTTCCTCCCACACGTAAAGGCGCATTAATTGGGCCGGTAACGCCTTGATGTATAGAGGACCACAGAGCTTGGGAAATTGTGAGCAGCGCCGACTCGCCACCTGGCCGGCTGACCTCACCGCTCGTCTGTGGTTCCTCCTCCCGGCGTCTCTGGGTCGTCCTCTGTCTTCGAGAACGAGGAGCGAATACTGTCGGGTGACATCTCGCCACGGTGGCGAGATGTTAACTACCTCGCCTGGTATACAGGAGGTCGTCGGTTGGAGCCCGACCCTGACGCCTGCTGTCTCTCCTCCCAGTGGCCGCGTGAGATTTTCTTCCGGGTCTTCCGGTTTTCCCATCCAGATTGAGAATCAACATCACGCGTTTAGAGTATTTCGCTGCTGTACATTTCCACGTGATGAGCCCCTTCATTGAGCTATCATTTGCGGCCAGATCGCTTGGCCAAACGAGCTATGTAGCTCAGTGGGCCTTACTTGGTAAAGTAAAATAGTTTAGATTCAAAAAAATAATTTTTTGTTAGTGATTTCCCATAAATTTTGACTCCTATTGTGTTTTTGTATTGTTTGTTGTTGTAACTTCCCGAACCCGTGTCCCGACTTGATATCTGTAAATAAAAATAGCTTAAAATAGTAATTATTAAATGCATGTGCCGCTGCCCAAAATTTACTGCGCTGTTAGAGAAATAAAAATGGTCAAAGTTGGAATGGAGCCGCCTTTCACTCCCTGCACCAGGTCCCACTCCATCCGCGTCACTAATTGTCGATCTCTCATCCAAGCCCGAGACGATACTGGGGCAGTGGGCGGGTCGGTGGGTTGCTGGGCGGAGATGAACGGATGGGGGAGCGTCGGAGGACATTGGCATCATCATCATCACCACCTCCATCATCGGGAGCATCTTCATCATTGGTTGCCGTGCCAACGTGGAGCAGCATAGCCATCAAATATTCATGCACGCCCAAGTGGCATTGGCAAAGGCAGAGCGTGACCCAAAGGCATCTTTAATTCATTGCGGCTGTCTCTGCCACCCGTTCCTCACCGCGTGTGGTTCTCTAGGGTTTGTCTCTGACAATGTATGCAAGCAGCAGCAGGTGATGTAACGTATATGTGTGACAATGTGCGAGTGGCCTCAAAGGGCACCTAGCCTGGCACAAGCGCTGTGATGACGTGAACGGCGGCTGTTGCTGGTGTGTGTGCGCCTGTGTACCTGTGTGGCAGTGTAGAGGTTAGTTCGCTGCGCTGCTAACCCGGCGACACGAGTTCGATTCCCGCTCACGGCCAACACCAGTGATGATTACCTGAATCGGTCCTGGGACTCCCCTAGGTTAAGTCAGCCTTAATTGAGTACCGAGTGCGGTATGTAAAAACATCGCCACTGGGGAGACAAAGGCGGCCGGGCGTGGTGCTGGTCACTCAGCCCCTCGTGTGCCGTGCCGGCATTCATAGGTGCTCGCTTAAAGCACTTTCCCCAACAGTCTGTTCAGGCTATACGGGGGATCTTTGTATTTTATCTGTGTTTGCAGTAAAGTGGTTAATTCGCTGTGCAACGATTTCGATTCCCGCTCACTGCTACAAACACGGGTGACGATTATCTGAACCGTTCCTGGCCTCTCTCAAGGTCGACTCAGCCTCAAATGAGTACCTGGTGCGATGTGTAACATCGCCACGAGAGAGACAAAGGCGCGCCTCTCTTGCGCGGGGCTGTCGTCATCCAGGCTCGATGTCCACTTCGCTTTCGACGTCTGACCGGACCGAGGGGGCAGTGCCGGATTATCGTAGTAGCAAGAGTAGCTGCTACATATGTAGTAGCTACATAGGTAGTAGCTACCAAAGTAGTGGCTACATATGCAGTAGCTACGGGCCCCGCACTTTCAAGGGCCCCGCGCTAAACGCTTTCAAGCTATCAATTCCGGCTCAGTGATTCTGCACTTGCTCTATTACAATAGTACAATACCGCCTTCAACTTTTATGAACGACTGGGTGTTTAAGGTTAGTGATTTGTCGTATTATCTGGCTGTATAGCGAATGAAACAATTACAATTACTTTACTTTGCAACTAAAAAACGCGTGTTTTAATATTTACGTGTATTTTTAGGGCCCCTTTATAACATATGCTAGAGGCCCGCACGAGCTGAATCCCGCACTGCGAGGGGGGCATTGCTGGCGATTCGGTCACAGGCAACCAACCTGTCAGTAACACAATACGCTCGGTAACCATGGCAGCTCCGTGTTCAACTTTGTGCCTCTCGTAACTGCTGCTCTGCATCCTGTAACGCTACGCCGTCCGCTTGCGTGAACTCATGGCCGGTGTTAAAATTAATAGGTCCTGCCTTGCGGCGGAGGTTTATCGAGGCAATGGGCCCTACAAGAAACATGTATGTTGAACTTCTTTCACACAGTACGTAGCCAACCGTGCTGATCGAAGGTGTGGTTGACATGCTGCCGGAGGAGGCTTCCGTGTAGGGCAGTCGTTGTTAGCGAGCGCCTATTAGCGCTGGTTCGGCACAAAGAGGGGAACGCTGTTGACAGAAACGCAGCGGGTGATGCGTTGAGGCTCAGTCAACCTGGAGGAGTGCCACAATTCGGCATTTCGCTCGGGGCACGCGTACCACGAGTACCAGAGCGTACTTTGTTTTGTTTTCTACGATGTGCGTGATATATCTCTTCGGGTTCAATTTGCACTCTTAACACCATCCACTCCCGCCGCATTTATACATGGGGAAAAATGTGTACGAATACGAAAACAAAGGTTGCAGCTTTAATAACGTGAGAAAATTGAGTTGTCGAACGCGGAGTGTGTCCGCTTACGGAACTAACCCAGAGCATCCCAGATGCATCTGTCACCCCTCTAGTCACCCCCCGAGTCACCCCCCGAGTCACCCTTTCCACCACCCCACTTGGACGTCGAAGGTAAAGGCGCGGTCCTGCAATTGCCAGCTCGCACCACTGTTCGCGCGAAAGGAGCCTTCGCTGGATGGGATGTTGGCCTACTATTTCACGCCGGACAAATCTCTCTAAAGAGATATGAGTGCCCAGGACCAATGAAGGCCGACACGGCGTACGAAGTGGTCGGGGTGGTCAACACCACGCCCGAGCCGCCTTTGTCTCCCCAGTGCTGATGTTTTACACTACGCACCAACGTATGCATTCAAGGTTGAGTCGACCTAGGGGAGGCCCAAAATCAGTTCAAATATTCGCCGCTGATATTGGTCGCTAGCGAGAATTAAACTGGGATTTATTGCCGGGTTCGTAGCACAAAGTGCGCTAACCACTGCACCACTGCTCTCCATCCATATAGCAAGTACACACACATCATAATCATCCTCATCATGACCAAACACAGTCCTTAAGAGAGAGACGCGTGAGTGACCTCCGGTCTACAACAATACGCACGACGCTCGCTGAATCGAACTCAGGTCGCCGGGTTCGTAGCGCAGTGCGCTAACCACTGCGCCACCACTCCTCATCCATTAAGCAAATACAAAGATCCCCCATATGACCTTAACAGACCGTTGGGGCAAGTGCTGTTAGCGAGCACCTATGAAGGCCGCCACGGCACACGACGGGTTGGGTGGCCAACACCAATCCCGGCCGCCTTTGTCTCCCCAGTGGCGATGTTTACACACCGCACCCAGGCACTCATTTGAGTTGACCTAGGGGAGGCCCAGGACCGGTACAGATAATCATCACTGGTGTTGGCCGTGAGCGGGAATCGAACTCGGGTTCGGGCATTCGTAGCACAGCACGCGAACCGCTGCCCCACTGCTAAATCAAAATATAAAGACAAAGATTCCCCATGTAGCCTTAACATACTATAGGGGCAAGTGCTGTTAGCGAGAAGCACCTATGAAGACCGGAACGGTACACGAGGGGGTGGGTGACCAGCACCACGCTCGGCCCCCTTTGTCTCCCCAGCGGCGATATTTACACACCGCACCAGGTACTCATTTGAGGCTGAGTCGACCTAGGGGAGGTCCATAACCGGTTCAGATAATCGTCACTGGTGTGGGCAGTGAGCGGGAATCGAACCCGTGTCGCCGGGTTCGTATCGCAGCGTAGCGCAAACCGCTACACGACCGCTCCCCACAAGATATCAACATATAACACACACACACACAAACACCACACATCATACTCATCCTCCATCATGAGCACAGTCCTTAACGTGAGAGACGCGTTAGCGAGCCGCTGCCTGTAACATTACGCACGACGCTCGCTGGATGAAGAATTCCTCCGGGATCGCGCGTCGATCGGCCGTTCGCGCCGGACTCCCCCGCCACTCCGCACTCCTCTCGTGCGGTTCTGATCCTCGATCCTTGACTGGCAACCGCGTTAAACGACGGACGAAGGATGAATGAGATGCTACTCGAGGTGGAGGAGGAGAGGGGGGAGGGCGAGCCGGTGGTTTAGTTTCATTCCTCCGGCTGAGTTTTGCGTAAAACACGCCGGCGATGAAATCCAAGCCGCGACGCGATCATCACTCGCTCGCACGTCTCTCTCTCTCTCGCTCTCTCTCTCCCACTCCTGTCAACAGATCGTTTGACATGCCAGTCACTCACCCCCCCACCCCACCGCAGGTAGCAAATCTTAGTGAACGTATCACGTACCCGGGAGGGAGCACTTCTTTGCTCATGGCGAGATATGTCTCTTTGCTCTCTGTCTCTCTCGCTCTCTCGGCGTCGCCGTCTCTCCGTCTCTCCGTCGCGCCGGGAGACCGCAGAGAGGACCCTGGCGGGCGGAGGAACTCGCGAGAGACGAACTCGGAGAGACGGAGACGGAGCTCGCGGCACCGGCGCGCGTGTGAGTGTGGCGCGTGTGAGTGTGGCGCGTGTCAGTGCGCGTGGTGAGTGTGGCGCGTGTGGATGAATACGCAGGGCGGCTCATATCCAGGGAGGGCTTCCCACGGCCAGTGCTGTTTCCGTGGCAACGGCGCGGCGTTGCTAGGAGCCGAGGATGTGTGGGCGGTGCCGCTCTCGCTCGTGGGGGGGGGGGGGGTGGTGTAACAGGGGGGGGTGTAACAGGGGGGGGGTGGTGTAACAGGGGGGTGGTGTAACAGGGGGGGGGTGGTGTAACAGGGGGGGGTGGTGTAACGGGGGGGGGTGGTGTAACAGGGGGGGGGGGTGTAACAGGGGGGGGGTGGTGTAACAGGGGGGGGGTGGTGTAACAGGGGGGGGTGGTGTAACAGGGGGGGGGGGGGTGGTGTAACAGGGGGGGTGGTGTAACAGGGGGGGGTGGTGTAACGGGGGGGTGGTGTAACAGGGGGGGGGGGTGGTGTAACAGGGGGGTGGTGTAACGGGGGGGGGGGTGTAACGGGGGGAGGGCTACGGAATGGGGGGTGCGGAGGGGAGTGGTGACGTAGCGGCGAGGAACGGGAGAGAGACGAGGGTGGTGGTGGTGGTGCCACCCGCTGCTTCCACCCCTGCTGCTGCTGCCACCTCCTGCTGCTGCTGGGCAGCACCAGCAGCAGCAGCAGAGGGCAGCAGCAGCAGCAGTAGGGGAGAAGAACAAGAGGGGGAGGAAGAGGAGGCGCGGGGTGCGGTTGGCGGTGTGTACGGCTTCGTGTTGACATGGCAACACGTAGCAGGCTTTCGCGAGCAATATTATTCACGATGAATGTTTTTTTGGGTTGGATCGCGAGAGTATGAATACGTCGGAAGCATCCACCACCCGACACGGCCGGTGAGGTTTGTCACGTGAACTACGCGCCAATTAGTTTGCTACTTCAGCCCACCGGTGTGTTGGAGAGTAAATCCACGACATTTACAATTTTGAGTAGTACGACGTTTCGCTGGTAATTATATCCAGCGTCACCGGGCGATTTGTCAGAATAGTGAAGCAATCCCCCTGCTTCCAACAGCATGGTTGTCAACCCAGACGTTTACCCCGTATTCTTGTACCGGGAAAGTTGAGTTTTTAGGTCCTTACGGTGTACAGCCGTTTCAATATGGGCAACACTAATCTACGTGAGTTTGTGCATCCGCATATCAAGAAAGCAGCAGCATCAGCATGCAAGATCACAGACAGTAAGCATGATAAGTAGCATCATTGACACCAATTATCAAAATTAGTCCGTAAATGTGTTTTTGTTTAGTAAAATAACGTGTGTCTTCTTCTTGGTTCTTTCGGTAAAGTCACGTAGAAGGAAAGTAATAAAATAATAAAAATAAAACATAATAAAATACAATTCTTACGACGTTTCGGCCACAACGCAAGCAGCCGTGAAGACGCTGTCTCCCCGACAGACCTGGTCTTCACCTGAGGACGGCTGCTTGCGTTGTGGCCGAAACGTCGTGAGAATTATTTTATTATGTTTTATTTTTATTATTTTATTACTTCCCTTCTACGTGACTTTACCGAAGGAACCAAGAAGATGAATCCCTGCAGTCACGAAAGCTTTAAATCGAAATTTAACGTGTGTCTGTTTGTGTTTCCCCCTCGTTATGGGACGTTGTAGGACGATCGTTGAGATTTATAAGGGTACGGGGTGACCAATAAGGTGTGAATTGGTCTGTAATAAGGTAGGGCACTGATAAGGAGTTGCCAGGTATGCAACAGCAGTGCATGGCGCAGAGTAAAGCAAAACGTGAAAGGCAAAGGGGCAGCCCCTGAGACTGCTGGCTTCGTGGCACTGCTGCTGGTGGAACTGGTGGTGGTGCTGGTGGTGGTGGTGGTGCTGCTGGTGGTGCTGGTGGTGGTGGTGGTGGTGCTGGTGGTGGTGCTGCTGGTGGTGGTGGTGGTGCTGGTGGTAGTGGTGGTGGTGCTGGTGGTAGTGGTGGTGGTGGTGGTGCTGGTGGTGGTGGTGGTGCTGGTGGTAGTGGTGGTGGTGCTGTGGTAGTGGTGGTGGTGGTGGTGCTGGTGGTAGTGGTGGTGGTGGTAGTGGTGGTGGTGCTGGTGGTGGTGGTGCTGGTGGTGGTGCTTCAAGCGATTACACTCGTGGGAGCTCGAGAGATCCCCTCTCGTGGGGGCATTCCTTGCGGCTAGTTTGGTTGATATTGATTCTTTAAGCGCGTGGCACATTCTGGCTATGTTCGGGACCAAGGTAGGTAGCAAGGCAGGGGCCAGTTTGCTCCAAGCGCATTCCAACGTCGTGCCAACGTTGCAGTGTCCTGGTCGGGGACGTGTGAAGTGAGAGGGGGGACACGGAGAGACCCGTTTCATCAAGCCCAGTGGATTCTTAGTCCCGTGAAGAGTCAAAGTGACATATTCTTAGTTTTTTTGGTAAAGTCAGGTAGGTAAAACATTCAAATTAATGAAATAAAAATCTAATAAAAATCACGACGTTTCGGAGGCAACACAAGCCTCCATTTTCAGGTGGAACCGTGTATCAAGTACTTGATACAGCTATCGTGCTGTGACGGTTCCACCTGAAGACGGAGGCTTGTGTTGCCTCCGAAACGTCGTGATTTTTTTATTAATTCAATTTTTTTACCTACGTGACTTTACCGAAAAAACTAAGAATATAAATCCTTGCAGTCACGAAAGCTTCAAATCTAGAATTAGTCAAAGTGACCTTCTGCTCACACGAGCAATGAAGCGTTGCTCATCTCCTGTTTGCCGCCCTGAGTTACTCGTGACAATTCCACATTATTAGGACCGGGGACGAGTCTGTCCACGGGGCAAGCGCCGTCAACTTCCCCGCAAAGTGGTCCGCGTTTTATCGACCCCGGGGGGATTGCGAGCCGCTCGCTCGACCGCACACTATTTGGTTTATGTGTTTTGAAGAAGGGCCGTTGCCCGAAACGTCGCCTATTATACATGTTACCTTTGAAAGGGCAGCGTGACGTGTTCAGCTGTTGGTCTAGGGTTTGAAGTTCTTGTGAGAGCTGTGATCAGATGGAAACATGCGTTGAGATTATTTCGATTATTTGGCTGCCATACATTTCCACGTGATAAAACAATTCATTGAGCTATCATTTGTGGCCAATCAGTTTAAAAGACAATGCATATGTTATTATCAGAGCATGTTTATGTTTGTTTGTTGCATGTTCACCACAAGTACTGTGTGTGGTTAATGCAATGATACGATTCCTTGAAAATGGATTCTGTTTGGTGTTTTAACATCTAAACACAGCTGTTTTATTGCCAGAAAGGGTAAAACCTATTCTTATATTTTGAGACTGGCAAGGAAGGTCACCATATTAGAAGCTAATAGCTCAGTGGGCCTTACCTGGTAAAGTAAAATAGTTTAGTTTAAAAAAATTATTACCTATACTTTGCCCTCCGATTGTGTTGTTGTATTGTTTGCTGTTGTAACTTCCCGATCCCGTGCTCCGACTGAACATCTATTAAAAAAGAGCTTTATAGCTCATCGGATTCCTCCTGCAGTAAAAATAAAGATTCTGATTCAGCTTGACTTCGGGTCAAGTTTTAGGCTCAGAGTTTAAGCTTCGAGCAGCGGTAGCGCAGAGGCGCTCGTTAGGACCCGACATTCGCATTATACACGTATAGGAAAAACATACTATATTTATAATTCAATGGAAATCGTGTTATTATTAGCTTTTAATTTCCTGCATTGGCATAATCCTCGGCACACCATGTGCACATCAGGGGATGGATTGTAATTTGCGAGCTGTGTTTTTTTTAAATCTTCTACTCGACACTTTCAAGACCGGATTATGATGCTGCCACTGTGGCCCAATGGTCAGCGCACTGGACTTGAGGTGAGTTCAGAGGTCGCCGGTTCAACTTGATGTCCCGGCGTGGCAGATGAAAACAATGGGATCGAGTGTTTGCCCCTCGCGCGCGTGCGGATTTTCCCTTGTTACTGCGGCTTCCTCCCAAATGTAAGCGTGCATTTGTCGGCTGAAAACCACTTCACATGTAAGGGACCGCAGAGCTCGGGAAATTGTTGGTGCTTGATCACCACCTGGCTGCTGCTGCTGCCGCCTTCCCGCTCAGCTGTGGTTCCTCCTCGCAAAGAATGTGCGGGGCATTACACATTTTAATTAGTGTTACATTATATAATAGCGCAAATGCCTTAAATACCCTTGTCGCCTCTGTCGTTTATAAATGGGTACACCATGGGCGGTAGTTGATCGGCAGGTGGGTCGCATGCGGCAGGGTAAAGTGTGGGTACCCACAGCCTTTCCAAGACGTCTGGCCACTGTGGACGAGTAGGCAAACATCTAAGTCTAGAGTTGCTCTCCAGAGTTGCCTCGAAGTAGAGGCCTCTTCCGCCAGCAGTGGCGAGAGTGAGGAATTGCAGGGCTGAGCTTTAACCCTTCAAGGCAACCCTAATTGGCACAGCTATACATACGCGGGAGGCAGAAATGGGGTATTCTACACACAGGAAGAGACGCGTGTGCGTATATGTAGGTATTTTGAACTTCTTTCGCACCATACATCTCTAACCGTGCTAATCGGAGGTCCTGGGAAGGACAACAAACTAAACACAAAACGCAGTTCTAAACAAATTAATTTGGCGCGCTTCTGTGCGAACCTTCCCGCTCACAGCACAACATCGGTGCGTAATATCTCAACTGGTCCTGGGCCTCCCCTAGTTCGACTCAGCCTCAAATGAGTATCTGATGCGATGTGTGAACATCACACCTGGGGAGACAAAGGCGGCCTGGTGCGCTGTGTCGGCCTTCATCGGTGCTACTCGCCAACAGCGCTTGTTAAAGGCTGTCCGGCTATCATCTTCTGTCTTCCGTGTACGTGTCCGTGCTGCAGCGTTGAACGGCCGCTGTTCACGGTCGTGCTTTGTTGAATACAATCACAACATGGGCTGTCCTCGAATGGCCACCGCACGCCACGGCCCCTCGATGCGAAACGCGAGACGTGCGGCACCTGCCTGCCAAAAAAAAGCCCATCGCGGGCAGTGCCAATAATATAACG